CTGGCAACAACAGAGTCCAGACCACAGACCACTATGTGAAATTCTATGCAGTAACAAAAAAATTAATATTATTTTTTTTTACATTACTCAGATTTCCAAGTAAAAACTGCCCAAAAGTGTCATAATAATTAGTCTCTCACTGCAGAAGTGTCACATGTAATATTGTGTTAAAATAACATTAAACATTTTATACAAAAGAAAAAGAGTTATATAGTATTTACGCCTGTAAAATGTCTCATCCAAGTCCTGGATTTTCTTAAAATGTCTGCATTTTTTATAAAGGGAAATACAAATATTTTGACGCACATAAATATAACATACACACTACAGTTTAAAAGTTTGGGCTTGGTATGATTTATTTGAAAGACATCTCAAATAGTCACCAATGCTGCATTTATGATGAAAACTATAGTAAAAACAGTAATATTGTGAAACATTACAGTTTAAAAGAACTGTTTTGTATTTGTCTATATTAAAATGTAATTTATTCCTTTGATGTCAAAGCTTAATTTTCATTTCTTATTATTATCAATGTTGAAAATAGTTGTGCTGCTTAATATTTTTGTGCTGCTTAATATTGATTATTTATTATCTTAAATAATATTATTATTTTTAATAAACCATGATAAAAAATTTTTTTTCAGGTTTCAAAAAGTTCAAGTTAAAAAAAAATGTTTACTTGAAATATTTTGTAATATTATAAATGTCTTTAATGTCATGTCACGTTTGATCGATTTAATGTATTCTTGTTGAATAAAAGTATTAATTTACTTTAAAAATTATAATAATAATAATCTTACGGACCCCAAACTTTTGAACGGTACTATTTGAAATAAAAAAAATATAGCAGCATTTCAACATTCCCATTTCCCACAAATGAAAATGTCCTAAGAGAACGATTAGAGGAATATTTTAGGATTTGAACATCCAGGCTAGGTTTAATAGACTTTGAAGGATACGGTACAACATTGCAGCCTAGGACCCTGTCATTTACAAAGTCTGCTGCAACCTCTGCCTTTGGTCGGCCCACATCTTTTGGTCTGTAGATACAACATCGAGCAGTTTGCATTAATAAAAAAGAACAAGAACTAGCTCAAAAAGACAGCTATCAGCTGACTAAGACTAACCTGAAGAGGAACTGTCTGTTGAGGTTAGAAATATCAATGGTGTCCATGTCCACCACATGAATATGCCGAAAACCTGACAAGGCCTGGGTGATAAAATTGCACCATATATGAGCATGATAGGACCGAACACATTAGCAATTAATGTCTTTGCAATTACAAGGTATAGAGTATTGCAGCTGTCATTCCAAGCATAGAACAACCAAAAGGAACAAACAAGAGTCTGTCTAAAAAAATACAGCACAACAAGGACTGTACCAGATCTTTGAGCAGCTCACAACCAAGTCCACCAGCTCCAATAACCAGAATTTTGCATGTGTCCAGTAAAAACTGGAGAGACTGGGAGAAGATGTGCACAGTTTATAAAGAGAGAAGAGAGTAAAGTAATATTCAGGTTTTACAACAAACCCTCTGATCTTGGATCAATTGCTCAAGAAGCTAAAATAACTCAGATACTATAGTTTTTGACTCCGCTGGATGGATTTGTTTCTTATAAACACAGCTTTTTGCAAGATTTTAAATGATGGACTGGAGTCGTGTGGATTATTGTGATGTTTTTATCAGCTGTCTGAACTCTCATTTTGACAGCACCCATTCACTGCAGAGCATCCACTGGTGAGCCAGTGACGTGAAGCTAAATTTCTCCAAATCTTTGCCAATGAAGAAACAAACTACATCTTATATGGCCTGAGTGTGAGTAAATTGTTAGCAAATCTTAATTTTTGGCTGATCTATTCCTTTAAGGACAAGGTTTTTTGTTGTTGTTGTTTTAAAAATTTGTACTCAAAAGGTCTACTTCTTAAAATATTTTAGACCTTACATAACTAGAAAAAAAAAAATTATGTATATATATATATATATATATATATATTCATTATAAATATTCTCTCTATATATATTTTTTTTGTTTTAATTTTATTCACATGATTTTTCCAGGTCTGGAAATCATAATTTTAAAATTAGGTTTCTTCATGCATCCTGATTTTTTAAAGAAATATCTTGCTTTGTAGATGTTTTGTCTTATTTTAATGCTTGATTTGTCATTCATCTTGTCATCTTAACGCCCCCTGGTTGAGAAACTGCTTTATGGCAGTTGCAGAATCAAATATTCTGCATATAGCTAAAAAAAAAAGAGGCAAACAGAAAAAAATGAATCTTTATCCATTACAATAATGTAATAACTCCATTATAACCTCAATTAAGAATATTTATAGGAAAAATTATCTTGCTGCAAAAATAGTTTTTTTTGTGTGTTTTTTTGTTTTTTTAGAAGTAGAGCACAATCTGTGTCGTATTTATGCACCATAAAATTAGCAGCCTGTCTTGTTATTTTTAAGCAGCCATTATGAAATCTAGGCAAATGTAAAGATTTTAATGAATTGTTCTAATAAAATGCCTCCACAGCTGAAGTTTGTGATTGACTCATTATCTCCCTAAAAGTAGGTAGATTAACATAAACATTTTTAAATGGGTATGTGGAATGTATATTACATTAAATTATATTATATATTATATTTTGGTATAACAGAGTGCATTGAGATTTATGTCATACCTCAGTGCTGGGTTCAAAATCCGGATGAGTGAAGGGTCCAGCTCTCTCTAAGAACTTTTTGACATGGTCCCATCGTCCCTGCCAGTCACTGCGATCCCCATTCCCTCCATCCACAACCATACTGTGGAGAAATATAAATATTTAAATATACAGCACACACACTACTCAGTTTATTTAGTTATTACAAAATTAATTCACATATAACACAATAGACAATATATTTTACGTGCAATAACAATTAAGCTATGGCTTGAATGGCACTGAATTTTACGTAAATTTCATAATTAATACTATGAAAGTGTTTTATATTAAATTTAAATGTTATGAAAGAGCATTATGGCATGTGTGCAAACAGCAGTGTTTGGAGGTTTCGCAAGATAGATTATATCAAAATAATGTCTGAACAATATGTGCAGTACAGATGAAGCTAATTACAAGAATCAGCACCTCCCAAAGCAAACCTGCTGGCTGCCACATCTAAATTATTATCTTTCATTTCACTAACTTCTCATTCAGCTCCTCTATTCTCCTTCTTTTCTTCTCCCTAAAAAGAGAGAGTAAAAAAAAAAAGTTTTTTTTTTTTTTTTTTTTTTTTTTTTTTTTTAGAAGTAGAGCACAATCTGTGTCGTATTTATGCACCATAAAATTAGCAGCCTGTCTTGTTATTTTTAAGCAGCCATTATGAAATCTAGGCAAATGTAAAGATTTTAATGAATTGTTCTAATAAAATGCCTCCACAGCTGAAGTTTGTGATTGACTCATTATCTCCCTAAAAGTAGGTAGATTAACATAAACATTTTTAAATGGGTATGTGGAATGTATATTACATTAAATTATATTATATATTATATTTTGGTATAACAGAGTGCATTGAGATTTATGTCATACCTCAGTGCTGGGTTCAAAATCCGGATGAGTGAAGGGTCCAGCTCTCTCTAAGAACTTTTTGACATGGTCCCATCGTCCCTGCCAGTCACTGCGATCCCCATTCCCTCCATCCACAACCATACTGTGGAGAAATATAAATATTTAAATATACAGCACACACACTACTCAGTTTATTTAGTTATTACAAAATTAATTCACATATAACACAATAGACAATATATTTTACGTGCAATAACAATTAAGCTATGGCTTGAATGGCACTGAATTTTACGTAAATTTCATAATTAATACTATGAAAGTGTTTTATATTAAATTTAAATGTTATGAAAGAGCATTATGGCATGTGTGCAAACAGCAGTGTTTGGAGGTTTCGCAAGATAGATTATATCAAAATAATGTCTGAACAATATGTGCAGTACAGATGAAGCTAATTACAAGAATCAGCACCTCCCAAAGCAAACCTGCTGGCTGCCACATCTAAATTATTATCTTTCATTTCACTAACTTCTCATTCAGCTCCTCTATTCTCCTTCTTTTCTTCTCCCTAAAAAGAGAGAATAAAAGAAGGTTCATTCATGCTCTGCTACCCGCAAGTTAACGTTCTTGCGTCCTGTTGATTGAACTACAAGCACTGTTACGAGGGATTTATGTGCAGTTTTGTATCAAATTCACTTACGGCTCCTCTCCTTCCGCCATACTGTCATAAACATTCAAAGTGAAATGCGCAACCTTATGACAAGGCAAAAGTGCTAACCACCTGACCCACAACGTCGTTTTCAAAATAAAAGTCCGGAAATAGTCTGGAATTCTTCATATTCCAGTAAAAACATATTTGAATAAACAAAATTACAGCACAAATGAACCAGTTCATGTAATTAAAAGTTTAAAAGGGTGACTTACTGGTTTGAAACAGACTGACGAATCATTCACTGAAGTGAATCCACCAGGGCGCAGAAATAACTGAATCAACACTGTGTAAAGATTGTAATAATAATCTTGTAATAAAGATTGTAAGGACTGTAATAATCTGTGTAAAGATAATAATGTAATAAAGATTGTAAATGTTGTAATAAATATAGGCCTATACTGAATTGCTTTAGGGTACAGTATTATTTATGTGTACTGGTTTTGATATTTTATTTTTGCAGTGTTTTCAGTATTGATATTATGTATGCAGAGTTGAATATTTGGAATCACAGAAAGATATAGAAACATTTCATCTACTAAAATGAGAAATATTTACAAATATTTAAAAACAAAAAATGTACACAAAATAGTCCTTGTTTATTTGCACAACTCCCATACGCAATCTGGAGTAAATCTCTTTATATGACCACAATAAAAGGACCCATGATTCTGCCATGATTCCATGAAGTCACCAATTCACTTTGCAAAAACGAACCCCCTGAAATGCACCAACATCTCCCCAAGTGTCCTCACACCTGAAAGGGGTATTCTTGCAAGTAAAGCAGCAGCGGCCGTGGCAGCGGCAACTGTGTATGGCAACCAGCATGTCTGTTTATAGTGAGGCGTGTGAGGTGCTGTACTGCTGGAAAGGCCTTAGGCCTGTGCAGAGGCTTCCTGAGCTTCAACAGGATGCCATTGTCCTTTGACACCACGTGATGTTCTTCTGCTATCCTCTACTCCCCTAGACTCGTGGATGTATAGTGCTGCACGAGACTAGGAAGAGCAGAAAAGGACAACAGGCAAGATCGGGCTGGAAAACTGGAATCGAGACGGAATCGGCCGCTGTCGTATTGAATGCGGACGTTAGTGGGGCCTCTCCAGGTCTGTACGGAGAGGGTGAAGAGGTAGAGTGGATGGCTGCTGTCACGCACAAGGAAAGTCCCTTCAGACACTCCAATGAGGGCATCCCTTGCCTCACTGGCTGTCACACCACCCCAGTACCATCCTAAAAGATAAAGGTAAATCTCTTTATATGACCACAATAAAAGGACCCATGATTCTGCCAGGGAGCAACATTTGCAAATTTTGGCTAAGTCACCAATTCACTTTGCAAAAACGAACCCCCTGAAATGCACCAACATCTCCCCAAGTGTCCTCACACCTGAAAGGGGTATTCTTGCAAGTAAAGCAGCAGCGGCCGTGGCAGCGGCAACTGTGTATGGCAACCAGCATGTCTGTTTATAGTGAGGCGTGTGAGGTGCTGTACTGCTGGAAAGGCCTTAGGCCTGTGCAGAGGCTTCCTGAGCTTCAACAGGATGCCATTGTCCTTTGACACCACGTGATGTTCTTCTGCTATCCTCTACTCCCCTAGACTCGTGGATGTATAGTGCTGCACGAGACTAGGAAGAGCAGAAAAGGACAACAGGCAAGATCGGGCTGGAAAACTGGAATCGAGACGGAATCGGCCGCTGTCGTATTGAATGCGGACGTTAGTGGGGCCTCTCCAGGTCTGTACGGAGAGGGTGAAGAGGTAGAGTGGATGGCTGCTGTCACGCACAAGGAAAGTCCCTTCAGACACTCCAATGAGGGCATCCCTTGCCTCACTGGCTGTCACACCACCCCAGTACCATCCTAAAAGATAAAGGAACTATTTATTAATATGACATACACTACCATCTGGGATCAGTAAGATTTTTCTTTCTTTTAAAAGAATACTTTATTCAACAAGGACTCATTAAATTAATCAAAAGAACATAATGTGTAACAAAAATATTAAGCAGCACAACTGTTTTCAACATTGATAATATAAGAAATGATTCTTGAGCAGCAAATAAACATATAAGAATGATTTCTGAAGGAACATGTGACACTGAAGACTGGAGTAACAGCTCCTAAAAATTCAGCTTTGCCATCACAGAAATAAATAATATTTTAAAATATATTTAAATAGAAAAGAGTTTTGTTTTTTTTAAATTCACAATTTAACAGTTTTACTGTATTTTTGACCAAATAACTGCAGCATTGGTGAGCATAAGAGACTTCTTTCCAAAACAAAAAAAATCTTGCTGACCCCAAACTTACATATAACTTATATATATACCTGAGGTGTGTAGGAGCTGAAAGGTGGTGGTGATGAAACGCAAGTCCTCAGCTGGGGCCCATGAGTAAGGAGCTGCTTGGGACAGCTGAATTTGTTGAACCTGTGATTCGTCCCTCTCATTTTGGGCACTTGTACGGCTAGCAACCATTACTGAACGTGGCCCTGGCATAAGAGCCTTCTTATAGAAGAAAAACACATTTCTGTATTATATTATTTAATCAACAAATGTTTTTTTCTAAATCTACAAAATGACATGAGGTGAGACAGCAGAGATAACACTCCAATCGTTAAAAATGGCTGTGCTTTCTTTGTTTTGTCATTTATAATTTCAATGAACTCAAAGAAAAAACAAACAAAGGAAGTGCAGTGCACCAAGAACAAGAGAATGCACTCACATGCTTTTTACGCAATGTGGCAAGAATTTCAACTGGAAAGCATGGTAAACAGCAGATTTGACAAGACAAGAAGTCACAAATATTTCATATATAAAAAGTATAAATCAGATCGATGTGTTATTGGAATGCTGGTGTTTTTATTTCTGTCTCAACATCTGCCTCAATGAGTCAGAATCTGTATGTTCTTTCTTCTTACATTATGAAACATAAATATCATGACACAATGGTTAAGTCGGCATACTTAAACACTAATTTCTGAAATGCCCTGGAAAGGTGAAATTTTGAAAGTGAGGTAAATGTGGATTTTACTCTAAATGAGAACAAAAGACTTTACAAACAGAGCTTTTGGGAATTGGGATTGGGATAACTGCACTGATATTGTACAAAATATTGAATTGCTTTCTTTTATAGACACTACATACTTGGTTTTATGTTTCATTTTTAAACATTTTATTCAAATTATATTTACACAAATTGTAAAGTATATACTCACAGGCATGTTATTAAGTCTATAAAATAAAAAAAGAGAATTAAAAATGAAAAATAGCTGAACCACAATTGCCGGTATTTAAACTGAAATAAAATAAAATAATAAAATGACACCTAAATTCTGGGCCTGTGCTCAACAGCTACACGTCAGGGAAATACGCATGTTTTTGATTTTAAAACTATGGCAATGTACAATAAGTTTTCATATTTGCTTAGTATATAACGTGGTCAGAAAACTTTCAGTGCATGTTTCGCTCCTTATATTGCACGATCCAATATTAAAAAGCACATAGATGATAGCAAAATGTTCCATTTCGAAATATCAGCAGCAGGAATCTGGAGTGAATTACAATCAATCATAAAAGGATGATATAGGCTATAGCCTATATGATGTAGCCCAATCTGGTTACTAATAGAGCTGGCCCTGGATCAGCGCATGCATTAACCCTTTAATAGACACGCCCAGAAAAAAAAAACAATGGAATTACTGTTTGTAATAAATAATACAAATGATATAAAAATGCAGTAATTTTTTCACATGTATGTTTTTAAGGACCCATCGTTTTTATGTGCTTCTACTAAACATTTAAGGAGTATCCATTTTATTAGCATTTACTTCTTTACCAAGAAATCCAGTATAGTGACCCGTATATTTTTCAGTTTTAGTAGGCTATCTAATATTATACTAATATATTTATTAGATAGCCTACTTGAATTGATTTCAACTCGTATCTGTTCAGTTAGTCACTAATTCACCAATACGTTTTTTGCTTAATATAACACCTGACTGGTAGAGATATCTCAGTAAACCATCAATATGCACTCTACCAAAAGGCAGAGAGTTGTTAAAGTGTCAACTAAACGTAATGCTGCTCCCATGGGTGTTGCTAGGCCACTTTTAGGGGGAGTTAGATTGTTATAATATCTGCAACTGTACAGTTTTTTGTCATAAATACAGTTTACAAAATATTATGGGGGAGCAATCGGTTCCCCATCTACTGTAAAATTTCGCTGCGTTTCCTCATCACACTACAGCTGTTTCCTCCAGCAAAAATGAAACCGCATACTTTATGAAACGATCACGTTGCCATTTTCATTTGGAAATTTAACTTTCAATATAATACATATTACAGTGCATGTGCAAAGAGGTTTGCATACTTGAGCTAAAGAAAGAGGGTTGTACTAGAAAAGCAAACAGTAAAATTTTGTGTTTGTAACTACAGTAAACAGGTGTGTGTGTGAGATCAGGAAGGCTTATTCAGTACTAAAATGTTATACCTATCTAAGCAATACAGTGGAATACTGCAATAAGCTTAGTAAACCATCCCTATTAGTCAAACATTTTTTTTATTTATATATTTATTATTATTTTTTATTATTAACCTCATTGGGGGCTGAGCCCCCCTAAAATGAAAATCATAGAATCGCCCCTGGCTGCTCCACAGACAAAAAGGAGATTTAACAAGACAGATTAATTGATTTTATTTTAACTATAACATAAAAATCATCACCTAAACAACATATTTATGTGGCCTCGAAAACCTTGTGAGAATGTGTTTCAGAGTGAAAGAAGACTATAGTTAAAATCTAACATAAAAAATAATAACTATGAAAAGGATAGCTCAGGCAAGAAATAGGCTACAAGCCATTGAGGGGAGAAATTAAACAAGTGTATCAGATGTCATTTGACATGTTTTGACTGTGTGATTCTAGCTCTCATCTCCATTCTCTCCAGCTCCTCTGATTAGACGCTTGTTCCCTCGTTTCCCTGTAGGGCCCTTTGGCTTGGTGAAGGCTTGTTTCAGAGCATGCTGCTTCGGGTAAACTTCTTCATACAGGAAATCCTCTGTCAGGCACTCTCCACTATCAATCTCCATCTACAAACATGACACATAGATTAACTCAAATGTTGGGTAAATATGAGTATTTTATGAGAAGCAAATGTCAAAAAGTTATGCTCTAAAAAGTTATACTACTGTTCAAAACTTTGGGATCAATAAGATTTTTTTTTAATAATTTTTTTTTTTTTCAGCAAGGATGCATTAAATTGATCGAAAGTGACAGTAAAGACAATTGTACTGTTACCACAAAAAGATTAAGCAGCACAACTGTTGTGAAGTCATTGAAAATAAGAAAAAAATGTTTCTTGAGCACCAGATCATTTCTGAAGGATCATGTGGCATGTGACATCAATTCAGCTTTGCCATCACAGAAATAAATTACATTTTAAAATATATTCAAGTAGCCACAGCTCATTTTATTGTTATTTGACGTCGACCTAATATAGGTGTTTAAAGATAGATTATCCATGTTCACACCTGAGTCAAGAATGAATAACCACAGTTTTGTGGTCAATTACAATTTCTTTATAAAAGTTAAGTTCAAGGTATTTTGGAGGTCTAAATGAATTTGTAAGGTGTAAAATATGATTTTTCCACAGAAATGTATTTAAAATAAAATAATCTATTTTAATGTACTCAAGTACTTGACATCCTTGTACTCTTCTACTCAAGTCAAAGCTTAGATGTTCAACAGCTATCTTGAAAAACATACTGTACAGTATTAGGACCAACTGTTGCTGTTAGTGTACCTTTTTGGCGATCTCTATGTGATAGTCTCTCTCTACCTCATCCAGCAGTCGATTCTTACAGCTGGAGTACAGCATCCTTTCTTTGATGCTACAACTATACCCAGGCATGGAGTAGATGAAAACTGGTCCACATATTCAAACGCAAACATGAAAAACATTAGATCTGAAGAAAAAACACCATTACCAATCTTAAGAGGACAAGTTGGCATATTGTGATACGGGCAGAAAATCTTGACACTAACCTACAGCTTCCAGTGCCTGTCCTTGATGAGCGTGTTTGTACAGGAAAAAGTGGTATCGTGGGGCATCAGTTGGGATTCTGCTTGGCAGCTCTTTGGTCTCTGTAGGACTAGTGTGGACCAGCTCAATTGTCTCTCGCTCGGTGTCCAGCCTCTTAAAGATGATAAAGTAAAAAGTGCTTTGTTATTGGGCTAATGGAGATGATATGGAGCGCAGCAGGGCAGGCGTAATATTCTATGTG